CAGGATTGAGCTAAGCGAGGCTCATAGAGCCGACGCGTTACTTGTATATAAAACTTTTGTTTTTCTTTATGGATTATTTATAATATAATAACAAGACAAAAAACAAAAGAAATCAAAAATTATGATTCGTCGAGTTATCTATGATGTTGAATTTTGTGTACTTGTTAAAGAAAAATTAACTCCATTTGATAGTGTTCTTGTTATTGGTTCATGTGAACAATTAGGTGAATGGTTACCAAATCGTTGTATACCATTAAATCGTTCGGATAAAATAGATCAAGGTGAAAATATGGTCAACTATTATTAAAATTTATGGACCACAAAAAATTTTTTATCAATATTTAATTGCACAAATTGAACGATTTGATGATGATTTAAATTTAATTGTTAAAAAAATGTAAGTTTATTAAATAAAAACAAAAATTTATTTTATATTAAGATTATTGTTGTTTGGTTTTTCTTTACATAGGGAAAACATTTAAATAAGCACGTCAATGATCACTTAATCATTGGATGAATGAATCCAATGATGGTACATCATCAATTGTTAATTCAACAACAGTTGATTATGAATTACCTGATGAATTTCCAGCTATATTTGGTTGTTATAAAGGTGAATGTCGTATTGATATTGGTTGGTTAACAAGTCAAAGTGAAATTCAACTTCGTTTTCATTCAAATGCTTTACAAATTTGGTCATCAAAATTACGTAACAGTAAAATATCAATAAAAGTTTCACCCAATAGGTATATTATCCTTTTTTCGTTTTAAATTCTACTAAAAATTTCATTTTAGATTTAAATTACCAACAAGAAAATGAAGAAATATTATCTGATTAACCAGGTCAAATATTTACACCAACATCAAAAGTCTTTATTCAAGCTGCTTTATTACGTTTATCAGGTTGTGAAGCTAATATTCAAAGTGATTATGGTGCTGTTATTGAAAAAGATGATTATATGATTGTTAAAATTCAAACATTTGAACCGGAAAATATTGCATATCATATTGATTTTTATCTTGTTGATGAAACAACACCATTACGAAAACATATTGGTTTTGCATATGTTTTACCAATACATTCAAATCTTGAATTAGCAGATAATAAACATCTTCATCGTATTGTACCAATTATTGGACTTAAACATAATCCGTTCGTATTGATTGATGGTTTTTTTAGGAAAAAAAACTTTTACGTTTGATTTAGTATTGGACAATTAAAAGTTGATGTTTTATTAATAACACCATTAGAAGGTGTTCAACAAAAATTTCTTGTTTCAACATCAAAATATTAGCGTCAAGGTTGACGACCAGTTAATGTTGGTCATCGAGGTTTAGGTATGAATATAAAAAAAAAAGAAACAACAAATCAACAATTTTTGTTATAGGTAAAACAAATACTGAACATATCCCATCGAAACATCAATCATTATCATCAAATGATTTAAATAAAAAAACATACAAATGATTCAATAACACCACCACCATTTCCATCGGCGACACGACCTGTTCAAACAAAATTTGTTAGTGAAAACACATTAGCTTCATTTAAAGGTGCATTTCAGCTTGGTTTTGATTTTGTTGAATTTGATGTACAATTATCAAAAGATAAAATTCCTGTTGTTTATCATGATTTTCAAGTTGCTATTACACTTAAACGTAAATGACAACAAATCGAATTATTTATTGTACCAGTTAAAGATTTAACATTACCACAATTACAATCATTAAAAATTTATCATACAAGTAAAACAGATGTATCAAAAGTTGATGAAGAATTAAATGATGATGAACAAACAAATACAATTAATAATAATAATTTAACATCAACAACAGTAAATCAATTAAAACAACAACATGATGAAAAAAAATTTCATTCTTTATTTCCAACATTAGAAGAACTTTTTGAAACACTTGATTTTCATCTTGGATTTAATGTTGAAAATAAAATATGCTATGGAATATCGACATGGTGGAAGTGAGCAAAATCATTATTTTGAACGAAATGAATATATTGATTGTATTCTTCGATGTCTTATTAATCATGGTAAATAGAAAACAAATCGATATTTTCTTTATTTTAATTTGTCGTTTTTTTTTGTTCTACTTAGGTCTGACCAAAAGTTCTAAGAACATTAAATAGTGATAGAAAAATAATGAGATATTTTCAATATTATTTTATCAAATGCTGAGCATACTTGCCATAATTATTTATATCCGGGCCAATCCTTTCTAACAATTTATTAAAAGTTTTTTTGACCTCTTTTTCTAAAACAGTTTTAGCTACCTTGGATACCACATGAACTAATTATATTTCATTTGTTTTAAAAATTGAATGGAATTTTGTTCGATCATGTCAATTGCATTCTAGCATTACTAGTGATGTGATATCGATTTATTTTAGATAGGTTTGTCTTAAGTCATCTAATGCTAACTGGCTTATTGAAGATGAATTGTCAAAGATTGTTGTTCATGAAAACAGATTTTAACCAAAACTTTGTTTAGTATATTCTTTAAATCAAATAAACCTGAGTGTAGATAAAGTCAAGATTGTAGATCACAATTATTAGACTGAAAACTGCCCGAAGCCTTTTGTTAATGACATATGGAAGCAAACATGGACATTCAATTCAAAATGTACAAAATTGCTTGACGATCATCGTTTACTTCATAATCATCCAATGTCATTAATTCTATGACAGAAGAAGATGTCAATATAATGTCATATCCAACATATTCGCCAGGCCTGATACTATATAATATTTGGCTAAATAATTCTATCGAATGTAGTTTAAGTGATTAAATAAATGAAACATGATTAGCTCATGTGGTATCCAAGGTAGCTAAAATTTTTTTAGAAAAAGAAGTCAAAAAAACTTTTAATAAATTGTTAGAAAGGATTGGCCCGGATATAAATAATCATGGCAACTATGCTCAGCATTTGATAAAATAATATTGAAAATATCTCATTATTTTTCTATCACTATTTAATGTTCTTAGAACTTTTGGTCAGACCTAAGTAGCTAGTAAACGTGTTATTATTCTATCAACATTTGATCCTGATTGTGCATCAATGCTTCGTCTTAGACAAACATTATTTCCCGTTTTATTTTTAACACAAGGTGAAAAAGGTGATTGGCCACAATTTTTAGATGTTCGAACATGGTCGATTAATATTGGATTATAT